CCATCCACACCTGGAGACTTAAACGGTTTAAAAGTGTTTATGGCCCACCTTAACCGATTTCTGCTGCACATATGCTTGGCCACTACAGCGGCCTCTCTTGGGGGTCTGCTTACCTTAGTTGTGTCCCTTATTAGAAAAGGTGTGCTTCCAGGAAAGTGAGTTTCGAGTAAGAGGCGAGCTCTTTCCTCCTCACTCTCCGTGAAGCTTCCATTTGGTTTCTTTAATGCCATAACTGTATCAACTCTCCCTTTTGCCAGGACCCTGTGCAGTCTCGCTGCCTCAGGTGTAGAGTTAATATCTTCGCAGAATTTTCTAAAGTTGTTACGTTTAGCTTTCCTGATTTCTTTGTTGTAGGTAGTAAGCGCCTTGGTGTAGCTCTGCCAATCTCCGCTGTGCTTGGCCCTATTATAGAGCTTCCGCAATAGTAAGGAGGTAGTCTGAGAAGAGTATGGCCCTGTTCTTTGCACAGCTTGTCAATATAATAAACTTTTTCCAACTTCATGCATTTAATAACAGTAAGCAATTCTTTGTTTGTTTGGCCTTTTTTACGATCACTGGCAGGAATAGGAATATTTTCTTCAGACATAAACGCTAAAATTTGAGCTTTGTTACTGCTACTATTTGGTATTTTAAGGAGTTGCCGCGAGTGGTAGGATGCGTTGTCCATATCGATTACTGACTGTGGTGGAATGTTAGGTAAAAGCTGTTCATTAAACCATTTTTCAAATAATTCTGTTGTCATATCTTCATGATAATCAGCTGCACAGTTTTTAATTTGTTTAGCAGATAATAATAAAGCATTATGCACGAAACCGTCTTTGCTTTCAGCGTGTACTATTATAATACGTTTCCTTTTAGAACATGGCCCATTCAAACAGCAATTTTTACTTTCCTATCTGTATACAGATATAAGGAAAGTATAGGAATCATGATTTTTTCGACCTCGAATTTTCGACAGATTTTTACGTTTTGAGGTCCCCTGAATCCGTTTTGACTGTGTGTGTGTGTGTGTGTGTGTGTGTGTGTGTGTGTGTGTGTGTGTGTGTGTGTGTGTGTGTGCGTGCGTGTGTGTGTGTGTGTGTGTGTGTGTGTATGTGTGTGTGTGTGTATGTGTGTGTGTGTGTGTGTGTGTGTGTGTGTGTATGTGTGTGTGTGTATGTGTGTGTGTGTGTGTGTGTGTGTATGTATGTGTATGTGTGTGTGTATGTGTGTGTGTATGTGTGTGTGTGTATGTGTGTGTGTCTGTGTGTGTGTGTGTGTGTGTGTGTGTGTGTGTGTGTGTGTGTCTATGTGTGTGTCTGTGTCTGTGTGTGTGTGTGTGTGTGTGTGTGTGTCTGTGTGTCTGTATGTCGCATAACTCATGAACCGATACACAGAAAAAGACCAAATTTTAAACTTAAGCTTTATTCCAGCGTCTAATGAACTGATTAGATTTTGGGCAGAGTCGGAACATCTGGGGGGGGGGGGTACTTTATAGGTGGTCATTTTTATATTTTATGGAATATATCTGTTATTTACGTTTAGAGAAGAAAATTCTTCAAATAAAAGTTACTTCTAATTATCTATAATTTTTGTTCCATACAAAATTTTCCTTAAATGGTCCGTATTCGAGAAATTTGACAAAATGTAAAAAAAATAATTTTTTATAAAAATTGTTCAAATAAAAGTTGTTTTTAATATAATTCTCTATAATTTTTATTTTATACATAATATCGAATTTTGAAGAAAACTCAAAAACGGATAAAGAAAAAACATTAAATTTTAAACTTAAGGTTTATTTCGCCCTGACGTAAAATGATTAGATTTTGGACAAAGTCGGAACATCTGGGGGGGGGGGGGACTTTATGGCAGGCCGTTTTTATATTTTATGGAATATATCTGTTATTTATGTTTGGAGAAGAAAATTGTTTAAATAAAAGTTACTTCTAATATTATTATCTATAATTTTTGTTTTATGTCAAAATTTCCTGAAATAGTCCGTATTCGAGAAATTTGAAAAAATGTGCAAAATTCTGATTTTTATGAAAATTGTTGAACTTAAAGTTGTTTGCGATATCGATCTCTATAATTTTTGTTAATACATGATTTTTCTAAAATGGACCGTAATGGAAAAGTGCTAAATTTAAATTTTTCAGTATTTTCGTTTTCAATGAATATCTATAGAAAAATGTTTCGAGGTAGATGTATGTGGACAATGTAGGTATATATTTAGTTTCTCCTCTAAACATTTATAGAGATGCTGCAATAGGTTGTACAAAATAACCGGGAAAAGCCTATAATAACTAGATAGGAAAGTCATGTGTTGGACACATCAGATTTTTACTACTGTCAACCCAACCGAAATTTACTACATCGTGACTGTCAAACCATGTTTCATCTAGATAAATTATGTGTCTATTAGAACTTTTGTACTCTTTTATCTGACGCAAATAATCTTGTCGCCATTGAACTATCCTTGACGATTCGTGGATTGCCATCCGTTTATTCAATTTTTTGTGTTTAAAACCACATGCCGACAAAACTTGACGCAATGTTTCCAAACTGGTATAAGTGTATCCTGGAAAATCTGCTACCTTTTGCTGTATTACTTCCAATGTTGGAACCCTGTTCTCCTTATATAAACTACAAATTGTCCTTCCTATAAAATCTTGGGTAGCTCTGTCAACTGATTTCAGTTTTTCTTTACATGTTTTTCGGTTTTGTGAATGATCCACAGCAACCCCTTTTGTGACTACCCGATAAATGGAATTTTTTTTTTACTTTAGTTAATTCAGCAATTCTTATTATGATCGCATTATCAGACTACTGAATATTTTCCTTTTTTAAACATTCTAATATATTTAAAATAACTTGTTGTGTTTGTATATCTAAATCCTTATTGTTAAAGTCATACCTCTCTTTAATCTCACTACACTGTGCAATTTCATTTTCTTCATTCGCCTACAGTCTAAAGAACGCCATATTTATATTTATTAAAGAAATTTAAATTAAACCAACCACACATACAAAACACACCGCACGACAGTACTCCACTGATATCGCAGACTGTCTTCCAGGAATATTTTCGAACACTCCTGCCCTCCGTAAACCTTCAGCCAATACAGTGCATTTAAGTTTACGATTCGATATTTTTATTGGTAAACAACGGAGATAATGGATTTTGACACATATATATATATATCAAGTACACGTGGATTGACCGTTCGTTTAATATTTACCGCATTGTATAAGGGGGGTAAACATTATTTTTCGTTATTAAATTTGGCATGAGTGCCGTGCGTATATATTAAATATTGATGATTCCCCACTTAACTGTGTTCTGCAATTGATAATGGAAGGACTATACATTCCTTTGGAGCATATTTCATTTCGTTATCAGATAACGGTAGAAATTTGCAGTGGGCTCTCTTACTATAACCAATACAATATGACAACCGTCTATATTCAAACAGCAGTCTTCTGCGCAGCCTGAATTTGTATTCCTGGAGTGGATGTTATTTTGGAACGTCCAATTGGTCCGAGTGAGCTAATTCTTTAGCTATAAACTGTGACCCGGTTATGTCATAACTAGCGAGTATATTGGCGGACTCGTCTCAACAACTTTTAAGTTAGTCAAGCCTAAAGCAGACCCAATTTGGTGGAAAGTATTTTGTAAGTGCTCTGCGACTCTATTAATTTTTTGTATGTTATTTCTAACCCAGCTGCCATCTATTTTCCTGATTCGACCATTCTGCACAGTGGGTCGTTTCAATCGCTTTGTGGCTTTCTATAGACAATAATCAGTAGATTTATTGTTTGTCAACTTACTAAGGTACTCACAAATAGATTCATTTTTGATTCGTTTTATCTCTCTTTTTAATTGCTGGGTGGCATTTTTAAGTTTGGTTTTATCTGATGGAGCTCTGGTTTGATGCCAGTTTTCTTTTTGCAGTTATTTATATCTTTAGGCTAGTTATTCCTGTTGTTCGATGAACAATAGATGAGGTATTATCCCATGCTGCTTGCTGTAATTTGGACACAAGTAGTTCTACTTTTTCATCTAGCTGTGCTTTTGTTTTTAATGGAACCAAAAGTCTGAAGCTTTGCCAGTCTGTTCTCCTATTTATTAGTCTAAGAGCCCTTTACTTTTGGATAATGGTGTTACTAAGAGTAAAAAGAATGGGCGAATGATCTGAATTGATCTCCCATGCCTCTTAAAACTTTTGATGATTGCAGAAAATATGTAACCATTTGCTGAAAGAAAAATATACACAACACTAAAAGTGAAAATTGTTGCAGAAAAGGGAACAAAAATTGCTACAAAGTTAAAAAAGTTATAAAAGCTATATTACAAAACAAGATAAATACACTTATTATTGAAGTAAATAAAAATAAACACACATGTTCAATATTGATTTTCATTTTAAGATCTTCACTCTTAAAATATATCTTATTATGGTTAAATTTAGAATAAAAACCCCTTTATTTAAAATATCACCCCCTACTTTACACTCGAACCAAACTTTGACACTGACCCTAAGCAATTGAAGGGGCAAGTGAATGAAAGGGTTATGTAAAAAACTAGTTTTTGTGTAATTAACGTTTTTTTAAAATAATTGACATTTTTAGTGAAAATTCGGTTTTATCAGTTGATAAGAGAATTAGGTAACTAAATTAGACACAAATACCAAACCATAACAGAACACATAAGTATATTAACTCAATTTCATCATCAAAAAAAATCCACTTACCCATTCAATTGTCACAAAATAGTAAAATAAGTCTACTTATCAAGGTATCCTACTCCAAAACTCATAATTTTCAGTATATCCGATTTTTAAAGACAAGTTACATTACGAAAATTTTCTCAAAAAAAAGTAATCAACTGATTTGTGTTCTTTATAAAACTTTTCTCGTCAGCGTAATTTTGTTGTGGTCAAATTGACAATGCGTTTTTTTAAGCAAAATAAAAACACCGAAACTCTCAAAATTCAATATTTATTGTTAATACCTATAACAGCCTTAAGTTTATTTTCGTTTTTCTTATTGTTATTTTGTAACATTGAAACAACTTTTCAGTTTTCAACTATTACCCCTTGCTTTAAATCACATACACCATTAGTCAACAAATGATAAGCAAGTTTTTTAATATTTTCCAAATCTTTTTTTATTTGGTTCTTTGTATCCACTAACTCCTTTAATCTAATAGCCTAAAAGAATTTAAAAATGTTTATGTATAATGTTAATATTGGCAAAATAAATACTTATTAAGAAAAAGCTAAATAAGTTAATAAAATAATAAAGATATAATACCAGTGTTTTCAAGATTAAAAAACTTAAGAAAGCGATGAGAATAAGAGTGGGAAGGTAAAAGCACAAATGGCATGCATGTACAAAGCCTAAAATAGTCTTGCTCGATTTTTTTGTGAAGAGCACACTTCGTCATAATGTGCAGAAACCAATTTGAGTTTGTAGGCGTGGTCAGACAGATTTAAACGTGATCGAAGCTGCCTGCCGCTCATCACCGCTCATACAAGTTGAATTCAGTAGCGTAGTGTTACTTATTTGTACTTGTTGTATTTATTTAACTATTTTGAGTTTCTTGAGTTTTGTGCCTCGATTTTTGAGTTTCCCGAGTTTTTGTGCTTCGATTTTTGTGTATATAAACTTTAATTTGTTATATTTTTTGAATTCCTAATTAATTTTGTGTATATTTTGGTAAATACATTTACAAAACTATAAATATTAATCTCAGAAGAAACCGAACATCCTGAAATATTTTAAATACCTTTTAAAACCAGATTTTTGGTAAACCATATTTTTCTTATCTTAAGAGCTATTGCTGCGGTAATGAGATAAAATTCGTAGGTTTTATATATTTTATCACCAGGTTCTTAATATTTAAGGTATTGTACGTAATATTTTTTTTGTTGCTATATAGTAACTTAAACTACAGTTCTGTAGTATGAAATCAACAAAAAAGTATTGCCACAACGCAGAAAAAAAAAATAAAAAAAAAATAAAAAAAAGTCTGAATATGATCACTGTTTTAAGGATTCGGTGAACATATTATTATTTCTTGATGAAAAAACTGAAACTAAAATTAAACACTCAGATAAAACAAAAAAAAAATATTTTTTTAATACAAATTGTAAAGGAAAGATTTCTCTAGAGAATTCTTAAAAGAAAATTATAATCGAATAAAACATAAAAGCAGAATCCTTAAAACAGTGATCAACTCTGAAAAATTTTTATTTTTTTTTCTGCGTTGTGGTAATACTTTTTTGTTGATTTCATACTACAGAACTGTAGTTTAAGTTACTATATAGCAACAAAAAAAATGTCACGTAAATACCTTAAATATTAAGAACTTGGTGATAAAATATATAAAACCTACGAATTTTATCTTATTACCGAAGCACTAGCTCTTAAGTAACTTTAATTTGTATTACTATTTCAAAAATTTTCCTTGGCTAGAGGTTCGGTTTGCTCTTGATGAATAGAAAAATAAGTTTAATATTATTTAAAATAAATTTCCTACAAATATCCGTGGTGTGAGTATGGGATGGTGTGCTTGAGGGCAGGTTGAAATTCACATCTGGCGCGCACCTACGTCAGCAACGAGGCAATTGTAGCGAACTGATTTGAAATATTCCCATTATGCTATTTATTTGTATGTGTTTCTGTTACAAGTTAAGTAAATGTATATGTATAGATGTTCTTGAAAATTGTTTTTCATATATTCGCGGTATCGTAGCAACTAATGTTCATCCAACACCCATGGATATTAAATATAGGTTGCGGTGGTACATTCTTGGAAAACATTCACTCGCCATATTTTCAATGAACAGAAATACTGAGGATGACGAAATTTGACTCTGAAATCAGTTTAACCCAACAGTTGTTTGAAAAAGTTCTTTCTGACGGCGATTTTGTTGAAACATCGAATCTTTTTAGTGAAGAAACGTTTTCTGACCATACTTTCCAAAGTCCAGATTATGGAACAGACAATTTTGTTCTAAAGATCATGACAATCTTTTAATGCAGTTTTAAAAACGAATATTCAAATTTAAAATTGGGTACACCGACAAAATTTTGTCTAACAACCCATACCCCCAATTGGATCGAGTTTATATCTATATACCCAAGTGAAGAAATGTTAGAACTAGCCCGTATAGTTGAGACCGAATTAAATCGATTTCATAATAACTTCTTTTCGACGGAATGAAATATTTTTAAAAAATTATTAGATAAAATTAGAGCCGGTTCTGTAGAAGCAAAAAACAATTTCCAAATAAAATTATATTGTGTTTAATAAGAACTAGAACCTATATCAGATTAAGACATTTGAATAAAAAAGTTAGCTTTGAAAACTGTAGGCGAAAACTGTCAAAATTTACAAATAATTAATAAGTTAGTTTTGTTATTAGTTTTTATTTATAGTATTGTATTTTTTATTTATTATGTTTGTTTAAGTACTTGTATTTTGAAAAAACCCACGACCCTAGGAAGTTTCTTGCATTTTCTTCTTGCTAGGTGTAATCGAAATTGCGGATTTTTTACATTAAAACATGTTAAGTACAATTTTCTTTTCTTTTTCTGACTTATATACACTAGGGTGGCCATATATAATAATAATAATAAATAAATAAGCTTTATTCAAACCATAGTGAATGTATACAATCAAAACAAGAAAATTATAAATTAAATAAAGCTAAAGCCGATAAGCATAACGATACTTGTTTCGGCAAAAAAAAACAACAAAAATATAAGTAATTTCACAGATTGCGAACAAACATAAATTAATGTAAAACTTATGTACTAACTAGATGAATGATTGCTTGATCGATTTTTAATACCTATCTAATAATAACAATATCATTCCAATAATAACATCAATAAAAATAGATAATTTTAATTATAGTTATAGTAAAATATTATCTTAGTGATACAAACACATTCAAAAAACATAAAACTTACACAAATGGATCAGAATATGAATTTAGCACTGTGGAAGGATGTTAAATGTATTACTCAAAAAGACTTTGGAAAGTAATTCGCAGATTCTGAATAATAAAATTTTTTAGTTATTTTTTTTGAAAAGAAATGTACAACATTTCGCTGTATTGTACATAAAGGTTTACAAAGTCTATTCAGCATTTAATCTAGTACAGCTAAACGCTGTATTTGTCAAGAAAAACGTCATTATTGTCCAGCAACGTAATATGTACATATTTTACTGAAACGTAACAAATAAAACAAAAACGTAATACATGTCTCTCTGCATCTCTCTGTACATAGCATAATTTTGAAAAACAATAACGACTGCGACATGTCTTTTCTATTTTTTAAATTTTTGCGCTTAACCAGCTTTTGATTCCACACGTTATCTCCATTTTAATATAATAATTGTTTATATTATTATATTACAATAAAATTTGACTATTGTCGTCTAACTATATAATTGGATAATTTCCCTCTGGTACAGAAGCGTTATCTTAATTTTATTAATTTTGAGGTACATTTTTTGTATACAGGGATAGTTCTCCATACCTCTACACTCCATAACATTTTCCTAGTAGGTACCTAAACGATTTTACAATATTTACTTTATGTTGTCTAGTTTCGTATTTAAATTTGTAAAAAACAGTTGACTTAATTAAAAACTTTATCCAATCAAACCAGTAACACGTCTAATAGTAACGTTTTTTGTAAAAAAAAAATTAAAAAAAATGATAACAAAAGAGAGAATAAGAATAAACTGCGATTTTCTTATACCACTTCATGCATTTTCGACAGAAATAGTCGTTGCTGACGTCACAGTTCGGAGGCCGCCTGCGCGCGAGGACACCATCCTATATTCACACCACGCAAATATCTATAGTTTTAGCTTGTTCAAAATGGAACAGAAAAAATTATTAGGCAAAAAAAGGCAAAATTCTTCAAAGTCAAACGAAAGAAATAATTTCACGCCTCATAAATTTTATGAAAAACGAGGCTGAACACGGTATTCAAGTACCATTACACAATTACAGAGAGAGAATTTTAGCTGCTACAGGGATTTCTAGAAGCAGTTATTCTAGAATTAAGAAGATGGCTGGTGAAGTAGAAAGTGGAGTTAGTAGGTACTTCATTTTCACAAAGAGGATATACAAAAAGAAGTACAGTTGTAGAATCTATAAGTCCTGAAGAGTTGGAAAAACTCAGAGGTATAATCCATCATTTTCAATTTATTGAGAAAAGACTACCAACTCTAAATTGTAAGTTACTATTTTGATTATAGTGGCAACGTATTAAATATAAATATTATTTTAGGTATATTACAAAAAATGAAGGATTGTTGTTTTGAATTCCGGGGCAGCATCTCATCACTTAGGATAATAATATTAAACATTGGTTTTAAGTAAGTATAAATAATGTTATCTAAAAAATCAAAATAAAATGATACTAAAATAATTAATTTCTCATAGTCAATTTTTGTACGTATACAATTACAATGTTTATTGTTTCAAGTGGAAAAAAAATGAAGACAACAGATCTGTTCTGTTGGAATCCTACGACATTTGGAATAAGGGGACAAATTATTTAAAATCCTTAATACATTATCGGCAAGAGGGCAGAACTATTTATTATTGTGATGAGACCTATTTACATAGTAGTCATACACATTCGAAAGGATGGACCGATAGCAAAGGCAAATTCAAAACTCCAATAAGCATGGGAAAAAGGCTTATAATGTTGCATGCAGGGAGTAAGGATGGTTTTTTAGAAAATGGACTGTTGATATTTACGTCAGGTAATAATCATTTTTTTATAGAAAATTATTTATTATTTGCGTCTTTACCTACTTCATAAAGATGCATGATGCTTAACAATCGAAAGTTATGATCAGCTTAAACTTAATGTAGTGGTTTATTTTATTATCTTCAGTTTAGTTAAAAGAACCTGTAATTAATCCTTTATTGTTATACAAGGGAAAGTTTTTAGTAATAGGATTATTATAATAAGTCTTATCATCTTGAAGAAATATTTCTTCTAAAAACAGATTATTTTTTAAGTGATTTAAAATTCCTAATAATTTTTGCTAAACTAAGCAATTATTTCATTTAAAAGAGTTTTTTGTAAGTTTAAGTATCATACAAAAATAATTATGAAAAATATACTTGCATTATAGATAAATTCTTTTTTACTTTTTTTCAGGGAAAAAGACAGGAGATTATCATGATGAAATGAACTGGAATAATTTTTCCCAATGGGTTAGAAGGCAGTTACTACCAAATCTTCCTTCAAGGTCTGTACTTGTAATCGATAATGCAAGTTATTATAATGTAAAATATGAAAAATCGATTACAACGCAGACCAAAAAAGCAGATTTAATTAATTGGCTCGTTAAACACAATATACCACATGATGCTAAAATAACCAAACCAGAACTGTACACATTAATAAAAGTTCACAGACCTCCACCGAAATTTCTTTTAGACGATCTTCTCGAAGAACATGGACACAAAGTTCCTCCATATTACCTCGAATTAAATCCCATAGAAAAAATATGGGCCACAGTAAAAAATTGGGTTGGTCAACATAACACAACATTCAAGTTGGATAATGTTGAAAAGTTGGCAAGAGAAAATTTTCCGAAGCATAACGCCGGAGGAATGGGCAAACGTGGTGGACCATTCCGCGAAATATGAGGATGCATATATTCAAAGAGAACACCTTATGGATGAATTTACAGATTTCCTCATATTTAGTGTAAACACGGGGTCATCCGATGAGTGGGAATCCGATATTTCCGACTTGGAAGATGATGAAGATGATGAAAATGTTTAAAATTATACAAATTAAATTAAAATATATTATTTATTTAAACTTTTAGTTGTTTTATTAATTTAAAGTTCATCAGAAATTTAACTAACGAATAGTTAAAATTTAACATTAACTTATTAATATGTTCGATTTAAAATATTTTATTAATGTACACACGTCACTGCTAAGAGGTCAGGTACCCCTACCGCAGCAGATTTCAGCCCAGCGCCATCAACTAAAGCTCCACAAAGTTATGACGTACTGCGCGAACTGTGGCATAGCTATGACGAAATGTGCTCTTCACAAAAAAATCGAGCTCTAGCTATATCTTACTTTTTCTAAGTGCTTGGTAATTTTTTTAATATCTTGTTTCAATTCTTTCTTTGTTATTTTAATATCTTCCAATTTTTCGAATTCGTCCGTTTTCAATTTTTTTATGAAATCCTTCAAATTAGATCGAATATTATCTAAAATAATTTAATAATTGCAAATTTTTATTTATTATACCAATCTAATTATTTCAAATATTACCTCGAATTTGTTGCAGTAGATTTTTAATTTTATCGCTCGTACCAATCATATTTTTAAACGTTTCACACATGTATGCATCTGATAAATCTGTTGGGACTTTAACATCTTCAACTTTACGTTTAATTTGTAAACTTTTTTCGTTTATTTTGTTTATATTTAAAACAATGTATTCTATAAAAATATTTTTTAGTTAGTTAAAATGTTATTCCTATATTATAGAAGAAAATTAAATCATTTGAAAAATTTTGTTCAACAGAAAAAAGACAAACAATGAAAACAGAGTTTAATAATTAAGAGGAAAAACAGTTCAATTGTCCAGAATTAGAATATTAGAGAAAATGTGAAAAAGGGGTAAGTGACATTAATTAATAGTACTAATAACATTCCATACGAAATACAATGTAGAAAGAAAAATAGTGAGTTCAAATGAGATTGAAGATTGAAAATAAGAGGTAGACCGAAAGGTGAGTGGAAGGAAATACCCAAGCATCTAACAGAAGAGAATATATTGTAAAAAGCATTATTTAAAAGATATAGGATTCATATCCTTACACTCAAGAGGGTAGACAGGTTTTTGGATTAAGCAAGAGCATATTCTTACCAAATGTTTGTTTAATAGTATTGTTTTGTTTCTTTAGTTCTTCAAAATCTTTGCTACAAAAATAAATATTATAATATTTAGGTATACAACAATAACAATAAAACGTGTTTTTGGTTTTAAAGATGAACTCAAATTATAAATACTGAATGACTTTATAATATTTTATTTAAATGTTTAGTATACAGTATGATGCAAATTTACTATTTCGTAGGACGTTGACTTCTGAAAAAAATCCTAAAACCCACGATTTTTTTAACGCGTGTTCTTTTAGTTATTTCATTCATTCGTACGTTATCTATGTGAGCGTGATGACGTCATCGATCATTTGAAAGGTATTTTAATTATTTACCCAATTCTACTAATAATTTTAAGTAAGTCAGGTTTTTACACTGTCACTGTGAACTATTTCAGAACTTTTTCCATAATTTTCGATTTGCGACCTGTCAATCCGTATACATTCTGTGAATTCACTGATATTTTGTGTTTTATTTTGGTATATTTTACTTTTAAAATATCCTCATAACAAAAAAGCAAGAGGAGTTAAATCTGGCTACCTAAGTGGCCATTCGATTGATACTCTTCGCCCAACTTTTCTGCCTAGATGTTGTCCAAGTAGTTTCTCACCAAGTCAGCATTTCTGTTTAAGAAAAACCGATATAGTTGGGACAGCAAAAAATTCTGCAGGAATTCTAAATATCAAGGACCTGTTAAAAGATTCATTAAAAAGTATTGACCTATAATTCTATTATTTATTATTCTTGCACAAACAATCAGTTTCTACGGGTATAGAGTATGATACTCCTAGATCCGATGTGGACTTTCCATTGCCCAATACCGACGTGGCTGATAATGTACATGACTGTTTAGAAGAAATGTTGTTTCCTCTGAAAAAATAACTTTTTTAAAAACATTGGGGCTCTATTATTAAACTTAAAGTTAAAGTAACAGATGCCACTTTTTCTTCTTTAGCATTCTAGGAACTGTTGAATGGTTGATGTTATAATTCAATATTACCTGCTGTGAACTGATATTAGGATTCGCTTCAAAGGCTAGTACAATATCTAGTTTCTGGTGTTCTGACATTTTTTGCTATGGCCTGTTTCTCTGAATTTCTTCTCAATTTTACTCAAGGTGGATTGCGAATTTGTTTTGATTGCGATATTTATTGTTTTATTGTTTAATAAAGCACCTATTTAAGTACTTATTTGTCTCGAAAACCAATCATTATCAGAAATTTAATTCTTTACGTTTCAGTAAGCTTCGTTTTTAAATACAATGTATACGACTCTAGGTACTATCAATAATATTTGATCAGTCAACTAAATTTAATTTGAACGTAGCAATCTTGGTAAGAACCACATTTTTCAAAATAACTTTTGGGTTTTTATAGAGTCGAAAATTAATATTCATCTTATCTGTTTTAATTTTATATTTGTTTGTTTACAAACCTTAATTACTTAAAATTATTAATACAATTGGATAAATAATTAATATACCTCTCAAATGATGTATCGCATCAAGCCACGTCTCCATTTTAAAAATTAATCGGTAAAATCACACTGACACAGTTGACGTCACGAATAAAAGAAAATTTGGCAGAATGCGTGTGATAAACAAAATGTCAATACCTATGTACCTTCTTCAAAAAACCTTAATTTATTTACTTTTTATTCATAATTTACCAGTTATTAGAAAATATCGATATAATATCACAAAAGAATCAAATTTAAAGGATTTAAAGTGTACCATACAATCGATCCATATAATGCGACAAACGGCGAAACTGCAGTTATAATTAAGAAATCCATTTTACATTATCAAGAAATGGGTTACCAAACAGTAGAAATACTAAAACAAAAACTTATGAAATTGTGTCACAGCTTTGTATAGCCCACCAAGACAAGCTATAAAGAAGCATCAATACGTTTACCTTCTGGATAGCCAAGGATACAGATTCATAGTGGGATTAATGGTTTTCTGGAATCTAATGAGTTGTCTGGATAAATCGTTCTGCAGAATATAGCCCAATAAGAGAGTGAAGAGGAAGAAGGGGAAGAAAAAGAAGAAGAAGACTTTAATGCGAAACATACTTACTGGGAATCTGGACTGACATCAACCAAAGGGAAAGGACTATTAGCATCATGCTATCAATACAAGTGTCAAGAAAGGCAAAGACTGAAAAAGCTTCAAAATCGATCTAGAAAGACTAATTGATCTCTCAATTCCATTAATAACTGAGAAACAATTAGACCAAAAAATTGAACTTTTTGAAAAAAATATTCAGCAAGCTGCGAGGGAGAATACTCCTGAGATTAAATGCAGAGCACAAAGTACTAATTATCCAAAAGAGATTAGAAATCTTATCTCAGAAAAAGTAAAATTAGAAGAAAATGGCAACAGTCTAGAGCATAAGATTATAAAACAACTTTAAACAATGCAACACACAACAGGTAAAACGCGAAATACGGCGCATTAAAAATTATTCGATTGGCGAAAACTTAATTAAATTAACTAACGATAATAGTGTGGATTATTAATTCTGGAAAGCTACCAAACTATTAAAAAGGCATACTATACATAACCCACTAATCAGAAATAGAGATGGAAGCTGTGCCCTAAACAATTTGCAGAAAACAAACGGATTTGCGGAACATTTAGAAAGTACCTTCCAACCCAATAAGATCTTCCAGACTGAATGGAACTAGCACAAGAAGACGCTGTACTAGCACAAAAAGACGCTGTCGTTAAATCTACCTTTCTAAACAAATATATGTCCGAAAAAAGCCCCTGGACATTACTGGGAACTTTTGAAAATGCTTGCACGGGAAGCTATTGTCAAAACGACTAATCTTATCAAAGCGTCCTTTAGACAAAAGTACGTAAGGAAGATGTGTAATGTGGCATAAGTTATAATGATACCTAATCCAGGTAAACTTTCCCATGAATTTACATCATATAGATCCATCTGCTTTGTTACGTGTTACCTTGAAACTCTATGAAAAATTTCTTCTGAAGAGATTGAAACCTATAATAGTTTGGCTTCAAAGAAAAACACTCGACCATCAAACAAGTTCATAGAATCACAGATATGATCAAGAAGTCCTTAAGAAAAAAGTATGCTCCGCCGTCTTTTTAGATGCAGTACTCTACTTGTTGTATACCAGATATATTCCCAATATTGAGCCTGATACTATCTTACTTATTGAAAAAATCACGAAGACGCTAATATGAAATTGCAAAACTCTATAGACCAGATTAAGACCTGGACGAAAAGATAACAAATAAAATTGAATAAAGGCAAATCTGTCAATACAGCAAAACTACCTGGGTATGACACTTGATTCTAGGCTTGACTAGTCCATATTAAAAGAAAGCTTGGTATAAAAAACAGAAGAATGTATTGGTTGCTAGGAAAAAAATTCCAAATTATCCATACATAACCAACTGCTTCTTTTTAGACAGATATTGAAACCCGTATGAACGTATGGTGTCCAGCTTTGGGACTGTGCCAGTAAAAGTAATATCCAAGTTATTTACCGTTTCCAGAATAAAGTATTAAGGAACATCGTCGATGTACCATGGTACTGCCGCATTACTGTTCTTCATATGGACCTTAAAGTGAAGTAGTCACCAACATTGACTGCTTTAACTTGGGAACGTTAATGTTATCCAGTTCCTCAAAAATGCCAATCGAATAAGAAGACTCAAGAGAAACAAGCCTTTTGAGTTATGTCAGTGATGTTAGATAAAAGCAGATTATAGTACGGTTTAGTGTTATACGTTAACGGTAGTGTAACTAAATAATTAGACTCTAAGGTACACTAATGAGTAGAATCGCTCACGAAGTTTTTCATCCCTAAATAAGTTAGGTAAAAATAAAATTGCTAATTGATCTCAATGATCAGATTGGAGTATTTATTAAAACAAAAATTCCAGTTATCAATACCGTCATTATTTTTGATTCTTTATTTATGTTTTAATATTTTATCTTTTATATTTTTGAACTAAAGTATACTTGATACACGAACTATGTTTTAAACTATGTTTTAAACATTTAAATTTGAGCTCACCTGTGTAATTATTTTTTCATTTGTCTTATTTTTACTTACTTTAAAATTTTAAATTTTTCTTTAGCTTTTGAACATTCATCTTGTGTTTTAGTTTCTAAATTTTGTTCTTCTTTTAATTTATTTAAATTTTCTTGAATTTTCTCTAATAACTTTTCACCTTTTTTAATTAATTGTAATTCATCTCTTGTTTTATTTATATTATCTTCAACGTTATCTAATTTCTTCTTGAGTTGATCAGATTTCTTTATTTTGGAGACAATTAGGTTTGTTTTATTTATAAGTTTTTTAATATCAGTAAATTCATCGGGAACTGTAAAATTGGGCGGATTTCTGTAACTTTGTAATACTTTATCAAGCTCATTTTTCACATTTTCACAACATTGTTCCTTTGTATTCAATTGACCTAAAAAACATATTTTTTTGAAAAAATTAAACTTGAAGAAAAATATCAAACTTACATAAAGCAGTAGATGAAATACACGTGATCAGAATAAGCCAACAGTTCATGATAGACTGTAAACATTTTTTATCAAACATTATTTTAATGAAGTCATCGTAAATATAGACTTATATCTTATCATCAGATTAATCTTGGCGTCATTTTATAGTAGAAAGAAAGAGAAACTACCTGTTTATGCCCATTGATAATTTTTATTGTTTGTGTGTAATACAATATTAAAAAATAAAATACACAATTAAGTGGAATGATTGGAATAAATCGACATTTGAATGAATAGTTAGAATATTGACTTAATGGTCCCATTAGTTATTGGAACTGTTAATATTGATTATAAAATGGCTCCTTTTTAGCATTTCTGTTTGGGGAATTCCCGATTAGAATAAATTAATTTTTAGATTACAGAAAAACTTTTTTAATATAGAAGATATATGGTGCGCGAAAAATAAATCTTCGTCAATGTATATGCCCAATTTTTTTTCAAAAACTGAGAATGTTAAAAATTCATTGGTATCCTCAGATTATTTTTAATTCTATTTTTAACTTGTTTACGACCGAAAAGCATAGCTTTGAATTTTGTCAATTGTCAATTGTTAGGCAAAATTTGTTAGATATCTCCGAGATAGTTTACAGATATTTGAAAAATTGAGAGGTATAAATTAAAAATAAGGGAGGACCTAAATAGATATCTGCGGCACTCCACGTGTATTATGAATTAAATTGGATGTTTTTTCCTTTTTGTTATCTTCCATTTAGGTAAAAGCTCAATAACTTTACTGAGGCTGTGTTAAATCCCATAACAGTAGAGAGTGATTTATTTTGTAAAAAGCTTTTGAGTAATCTAAGAGAATTAGTATACATATTTTTTTAGCATCTATATACGAATAAATATATCGTCTAATACAGTATTTCCCAAAGTGGTCCAGGTGGACCGCCAGGGGTCCACGGGAGACTCGACGGGGGTCTACGTTGGGTGTAATAAAACATGGGGTCCACAATGGTAAGCGGGGGAGCATGAAAATTAATTTGGTTTCGATAGTGAAGCAATATCCCAGGTAGCACACATTAGTATAACTAACGTATTTTATACGTAATACTCGTTTAATTTTGGTATTGGTTGATTCCGTATACGTATACGTTTACAGTTTACGATTATTATACATACCGTATTTTAAAAGATATATTATACGTTTTTTGTATTCATCCTATGGTATATAATTGTAAATTTTTCTACGTTTAAATGTAGTTAACAATATACGACCATTTTTAGTTTGCGATGAACTATTTATGTAGAGTTGGTCTAAATATACGTTTAGGTTTATTTAAATTAAATTCGTATAAATTTACATAATATTACAATATGTGTTCTTCGTTTATAACACCCGTTTAAATTTCGTCTTGGTTGATTTCTTAAACGTTTACCATCTACCATTTTTATACTTAACGTTTTTTAACAGATAATTTAAACGCTTTTGTTTGTGGATACTAGTTAATATACCTATATTATTCTACGTTTAAATATAAGTCACCATAAACGCATATTACCAGTTTACGATGAACTAGTAGACAGAAGTAAATAATATTTAGGTTTATTTAAATTAAAAGCTTATAGATATATTTATTTACATTACACCATATTTTTTTAATTATATTTCCTGTAATATTTATAACAAATTCCCCATTGTACCGATTTCAAACACCCGAACATTTAAATAACCCGCCAATAACCATGGTGGGGTGGACTAGTCCATGTCGTTTCAGTGAGTGAGATTCGGGGTGTGCTTCAAGCTAAGTCGGGCTGGTCCAAAGTGCGCGTAGTGCAGTGAATCGAGAGGGGAGTAAGGTACCGGCAGACGATCGGGAATCAGCTGACTGATGGTGGTTGGTGGCTGTGAAGGGCTCGCTATCAATCAAACGATTCACGCTATTATAAGTTATATTTCTGTTAACTAGTTGATAACCACGATAATTGCTTTTTATGTAATAAAAAGTTCTTGTAAAATTGTTGGTGGTGTTGTTGTTGTGCCCAGTTGAATTGCATGTTACTTTGGCGTCCTGGCTTTTACAATATTGGTTACAAGCATAGGTAAGTTTCTATTAATGTTTTAATTTAGCTACTCGTTTAATAATTGTTGCATTTTACAACAACTACTGTTTTATTACAGTGTGTAAAATGCTTATAGAATCTCCAAAACATAACCTTACTTTTGTTTATCTTATTTTTATACGTATTTCTATACGTATTTTTTAGGCTACCTAGTTATTCCAAGCATACTCATTTTCCTTTGTTTTGGTCAGTTGTTTTTTATTTAATAAAATGTCTAAAATAACCCTATCTCGGCGTCATCTACTAAGAAAAATAACACAAAATGTTCAAGATGCTTTAAAGTCAAATCAATTTTTTTTATTCCCAGTGAAGATAACATTAATAAGGCTTCGGACATTAATATATCATCTGATTCTATTATTTATAATAATTTCTTAGAAAATAATACAAATTTAACTTTGGAGCTTTTAGAAAATATTTCACCTGAAATGCAGTTACCCTTTGGTTATAGGAATGGGGGCGAACCAAGAGACTTAACCGACCGAACGATTAGAAGTGCTATGCAAGAATGGCTTTAAGTTAGCTAAGGCCTGTCTAGGACACAACACATCCAAAGTGTTAAGCTAAGATTTTAATTTTCATATATATTTTTTGTTAGTTAAAGAAAAGTTTCGTTTAGTTTGTTATTCAGTATTTTAATGTTTATTTTTTAGTACTTATTTATTTTTTAGTATTTTATAGTTTATTTTTTTTAATAAAATATTGTTCTGTACATATAACAAGAACAAGTGATCAAAAAAATTTCCTAAATATTTAGACCAATTAAAACCAAAATAGAAACACGAGTAATACCTATTTCTAGTGTATACACACCTGCTATGGATAAAATCCAAACTGTCATTTAAGAAATATTAACATTTTTCCATGGCCTCTTTTAGAAATTTTGTTTTGATCACTATATTTAATTTGTGTTTGAAATATATTTAAAATAATATCAGGTAGACGCATTTTACACATTAATAAAATAAGATAAATCTAATATAGACGTATAGTAAAACAGGATAATAAAAGGTAGATAAAGTAGTAATGTTAGACGTATAAAAAATAAAAAAAATATACGTTTATAGGGCGGACATTTTCACGTATATATTGGGTAGCATATCAACGGTCTCCATACGTATATTGTAGTACATAAAAAAAAACGTCTTTTATACCAAAGTGGATTCGTATAAATATACTACAACTATAAATCTAACATAGACGTATAATAAAAACGTATAATTATAGGTGGATAAATTCTTAGTAATCGACGTTTATAAGGCGGACATTTTCACGAATATATTTGGTAGTACATCAACCGTATTCATACGTATGGTAGTACCTAAAAAAACGTAATTTATACCAAAGTGTGCTGCCTGGGATACTATTAAACAATTGATTACTCATTTTTCCATGTTATGAAGAAATTCTTGTAAAAAACTTCAACTGTTTATAATATAAACAGAAAACATTTTAGTTACTAAAATGTTGACTTGACTTCTCTTATCAATATAGGCAGATAATATTTTAAGAAGCTCAGCGACTGTTACTTGTAAAAACTTACATATTCCATATTCAGTGCAACGCGTCGAGACTTGTCGTTGCCGCGCCGGCCGCCGTGCCATCCGCAACGCTTGTTCAGACGTGCAAATTAATACAACTTGTGGTGTATATGTTTGCAATCTTGCATAATCATGTTTGATTCTTCACCAATATAAATACGAATACCAATGATAATCGTTACTCATTTGTTTCTGGAATTTCATAAAGAAAAGTGAATCAATATTAGTGTTGGCCAGTGACTGAATTTGTTTCCAGACTTTTGAAAATATAAGTAGAGTGAATCGATATTAGTGTTGGCCAGTGACTGAATTTGTTTCCAGACTTTCGAAAAGAAAAGTAAAGTGAATCGATATTAGTGATTGCCAGTGTCGGAAAAGTAAGTACCTACCTGCCTATTTGTTATATGCATATATGTAGTTTTAAGCCGAGAAAGATTGAACTTATCGTCCCTACTTTATTTTTATTACCTATCTAATTCATTTAATTATTGCGGAGTTTTGATTCAAAATATTGTTTAAAAGTTTTTATAGAATTTACAGAAAATTATTAAAATATAATAAATAAAATAATAATTTTATATCTACCACATTAAAATAAGTTTAGCCGTTTTCATAAAACTCTATTATGGATCTTAGAAATTTATTGCTTTTAATAATTAGAAACAGTTTGCAGCCAGAACTTTGTTTATTTCATAATATTTATAATAATTGATTAATCATATTATGTTAAAATAGCCATATCCTGCTAAGTTTGAATCGCCTTAAGATTACTAACACAAAGTTGTTTTTATTTATTTACTCACACATTTACAGGTAGCTAATTGATACAAAACATGGCCGAATCTAAGAAGAAGCATCGTCAGTACAGTATTAAATATTTAAAATTTGATTTTCTTCCATCAAAGGCAGACAAACGATTGCCACATCAGGGCCGGCCCCAGGGTAGGGCGATCCGGGCGGCCGCCCGGAGCGCAATGATCTAGGGGCGCCGAAATCATGGAAAATGAAAATAAACTGATAAAAAAAATTAAGTTTAAATGCACTAAAAAGAAAAGAATATTTTTGTATCATTCTGATATCATAATTGACAAGTTTTTCGGTCCGTGGCAACACGACTGTACAGGAAACAACAATTTTGAAACTAAGCGCAACAAGATCTAACAGCCCTTTTTAACTGCATATAAAAAGGAAGTAGACTTAAAACAATGCATTATTTACCACTAGACTTCAGCTGGTGCGAAATAAAATAGTTTGTTTAAATTGTTAGTGCAAAAAAGCTTTAAAAAAGTGCTTGTGCAAATTGTCCAGTGCGTTTGTCTTCTGTAAAGGAAAGGTAAGTGTTTTAATTGTTGTTTTCACTTTTAAAAACTAAAAAATCCATCAGACATACGCCCAAAATAGGGTGGGGGTAGATTTCAAAAATTAGAGTTTAGATCAAAACATGGCTTGTGTGGTATCAATTGAAAGGTAATTGAGTCTGGAGTTGAATAAAATGCATTTTATTTTTTTAAGCGAGTGGCGCACAAGGAGGGGTTAAACGTGGTCTAGCTGCACCTTTGTATAATTTTGATTTTCCTTTTGATGATCAGCATAGAAGATTCTCACCAAAACATTACAAGAAAAGGCTTATAAATGGAGAAGAGGTTTTAAGAGAATGGATGGTATATTCCGTATTTCAAAACGCTTTGTACTGTTTTCCAAGTCGACTTTTTGATGCACCATCTAGCTTGAGCGCTCTTGACAACCGGGGATTTAAAGATTGGAAGAATTTAGGGGACTCTTTAGAACATCATGAAAATGCTAAAACTCATATAGATTGTTTGAAATCATGGCTTGAATTGAAGCAAAGATTGAAAATAGGTGAAACAATAGATGCAGTTTCTCAGAGACTCATTGATTCTGATATAAATCACTGGTCTGACGTTCTTTTACGCATTATATCAGTCGTTAAAATGCTAGGTCAGAGCTCTTTAGCTTTTCGAGGAAAAAGCGATAAACTGTATGAACACAATAATTAAAACTTTTTGAAGTTAATTCAGTTATTGGCTAAGTTTGATCCAAAAATGGAGGAACTCTTTCGCAGAGTCCTCAATAAAGAAGAAATCAGAACTACATATCTAGGGAAAACTATACAAAATAAAATAATTGAATTATTGCATGACAACATAAAGCACCACATCATTGAGCAAGTTCAAACGGCCAAGTATTATTCCGTGATTCTTGACTGTACTCCCGATGCAAGTAAAGTAGAACAGATGACATTTGTGGTAAGATTTGTCTCCATACAGTTAATAGTTAATATTAACGAACATTTTTTGGGTTTTCTACCCATTGAGAGATCAACAGCTAAAGAATTGTCGGAGGTTTTACTAGAAAAGCTAGAGAAAAATAGGCTTAAAGTAGAAAACATACGCGGTCAAGGTTATGACAGTGGTTCCAATATGAGAGAAGAAAAATCGGGAGTACAAACAAGAATCAGAAATATAAACCCCAGAGCATTTTATGTTCCATGCAACAGCCATTCGCTAAATTTGGTTGTAAACGATATGGCAAAATCCTCGTTTGAGGCAGCCAACTTCTTCAATATTGTTCAAAAGTTATATACATTTTTTCTTCCTCTTCTTTTCGTTGTGCAATATTACTGAAATATATTGATACTTACACCCTAAAACCATTATGTGATACGCGATGGGAAAGTCAAGTCGACTCATTAAAAGCTCTGCGGTTTCAAATTGGTCCAATTCACGATGCTTTGTACAGCATATATGAAGATTCAGAAATCGATAATATGATCAGAGACGAGGATAGCGGATTATTAAATAAATTGAAGCATTTAAAATTTATATGCTCTGTTGTGATCTGGTACAAAATTTTGAGTCATATTAACCCCATCAGCAAACTTTTGCAAACTGTAAATTTTAATGTCACAAGCTATTGATATGCTTAGCAACTGCAAACTCTTCTTTGAAAATCTGAGATCAGATGAAGCTTTTGAAAGCATCATTTTAGAAGCAACCCAGCTTGTTTCAGAGATTGACGTGGAAGCTAAGTTCTAAACCACCACACCACGTCATCGTGTCAGAAGCAAAACAAGATCGTTTTTGTATGAGGGCCCAGATGAACCCGTTCAAGACCTCAAACAAAAATATAAAATAGATTTTTTTTTCACACTATAGATCAAGCAATAAATGCCTTGGAAACCAGATATAGTTTGCTAAATACTCACAGTAATTATTTCAGCTTTTTGTATAATATTTTAGGTCTAAAATACTTGCCCAGAAATGAGCTACTGGCCCATTGCCGGGAAGAGAGTGATGATAACTTTGAGGCTAGTATCTCGTCTTATAGGTCAAAATATGCATCTCGGCAAGTTTTTTTGCCTTCCAAAGAAAAATACCTGCAACAGTCTTCATCTATGAATTTCGGACTAACATATAAATATGCTAGAACTTTAGCATTTCAATATGCCAAGAAATTAAATAAGAATACTATCCAGCTCTTTGTGACGACAGTCAGATGGCAGGCATAGAATAGATGCGCTTCTTCATGAAGTGCCACCCCAAATTGTCATATAGAAAACCCGAAAATGTCAGCATTGCCCGCACTTCTGGATTTGACAAGACGAATGTGGAAACGTTTTTTCAAAACTATGCCGAAGTCATGGCAAGATATAAATTTTCTCCGGACAGAATCGTAAACACAGATGAAACCGGTGTTTCAACAATCATGCAAGCACCAAAAGTCATATCAGAAAAAGGCAAGAAGCAAGTCGACCAATGTGTTTCTTCAGAGAGAGGAACACTTGTAACTTTTTGCGAAATTATTACCACTACTGGTATTTCAATTCCACCGGTTTACGTGTTTCCCCGAGTGAGAATAAAAGATCATAATTTATACGGCAGTGTACCTGGTGCAATGGGTTACGCAACGAAGTCAGGCTGGATGTCAGCAGAAGTATTTGACAAGTTACTGGAACACATCCAGAAACACATGAAAAGCACACGAGATAATCCTATCCTACTTGTGGATAACTACGAAACTCATGTTTCACTTGACGCAATTAATTGTTGCTGAGAAAATGGTATAGTATTACTTTCCTTTCCACCACACTGCACGCACCGGATGCAGCCTTTGGACATCGGTGTCTACAGTCAGTTCAAAGCCAGATGCAAGTCCGCTTTTAATGATCATATTTTAACGAATCCGGCTAAAGCAATTTCAATATACGATATTGCAAAACTAACCTCAGAGCCATATTTGCTATCATTTACTCCCATTAATATCATTAAGTCCTTTATAAAAGCAGGAATCTGGAATAAACAGTCATAATTTTGATGATTTTGCTGGAGTTCTCAGCTATGGACCCTCTACAAGTTCACGAGCTGATAATAATTGCGTTTCACTTGGGTCAATGGTAGCTTCTGAGGAATATGGCATCAACGACTTAGATCTTACCCATAATCCAAAGGAGGGTGCACACACCTTGGAATTTATAACTCAGTTAATGCAAGATGTGTTAACAAATGTTATCAATAAAGTTTCTAGAGAGGACCGACAAGAGGGGGGTTAGCCGGGACAAATTCCCGGGGCCCTCCTGAAGAGGAGGAGAAGTTTTTGCTTTGAAGACCTTTTTTTAGAAATGTGATATTGAAAAGGCTTAAATGTTTTATAAAATTGTCGCAGGGGTCAAGGAAAAATGAGCCAACACTAAAAATAAAACTTTGTAAAAATAAAAAACCAAAAACGGTCCGAGAGAAGACAAGAAAAAACTAAGGAAAAAGTTAATGTTATTCAAGTTTCTCGTCAAATTCTGATATGGAAGCAACAACTTCTAATGTCAAAACGAATGGTCTAATTATTATAGCTCAGATTCTGACTTAGATTTACAAAACGAATATGAGGTCATTAATTATCTTGTAAATGATGAAGATGTTACCGTGGGCGACTTTGTGTAGGTAAAATTTGCAACAAAGAAAACTATTATTCACTTTATGGGCCAAGTACAAGAGCTAGACGACCATTACAATGAACTAATAGTTAAATTTTTACGATTCAAACCAAACTGTGGATTTTACTATCCTATTTAAAATTATATCAGCACAATACCTAGGACTGACATCTTGACGAAACTTCCTCAACCTCCTGAAAACAAAGAAACGTCCAGAGAAGCATCTTACATAAAATTCAATGTTTAATTTTTTCAATATAACATCCAATACTAAGTTTATTTGTTAGTTAACTTAAAAAATAAATATTCATAGGTTCAGTTGTTTAAAATTATTTACACAAAGGTTTAAATAAAGTAAAAATACTATTGTCCGTCCCAATGTACCGCACCTCTGTCTAAATCTACCCCATGGTAAGGCACAATTGGACAAATGCATACATATAGAAATATTTTTTGTTTGCTTTGTATTCTTGTATTTATATTTTCGATAGCAATGTTTAGGATCAAGTTGTAAAGGGTGATCCAATTTCCCATCTTAGAATGAAATAAAACTCAAAAATTTAAAAAAAATTATATTTTAACTTTAGTAATAGAAAATATTAAGTATTTTATTAAGTATGAAAAATAATATCATTTAAATAGCCGCCCCTAGACCTTCTGCAAGAGTCGATCCTTTTTAGATAATTTTCGATGACTTTTTCAAACATTTCGGGCGGTATGTTAGCAATAACTTGGCGAATATTGTTTTTCAGATGATCTAACGTTTCGAGTTGATTGGTTATGGTCCCTAGGCTTCAGCTCTTGTGTTCTCTGAATTTTATATGGGTGTAAATGCAAATCCCGATGCAAAATGCATCAAAGGGAGCCATAAGAAAAGCCTAAAACTTGCGAGCGCCGGCGAATCGACATTCTTGGATTGGCAGCCAGGCTTTCATTAACTGCAGCAATATTTTCAGATGAACGTGCACGACGATGATTCACAAACCTTCTCATATCTGCAACACTTCCAGTATCTTCAAATTTTTTGACATTTCGAATAGTTCGCTCCGTAGGACGATTACATTGATAATAATCTGCACGTAAACATCTGTATACGGTTCTTATAGAATTGTTGTTTTGATAAAACAATCGTACAATTTGCATGCGCTGAGCGGTCGTTAAGCGATCAGTTTCGTAAATGTGTTACTACAAACTAACTTTTGACGGTACAAAAACAAATGCATATTTTCAACTGTCTGATTTACAGTAGTGCCAATTTAGGAAACTGAAATTGGATCACCCTTTATATAGCTGTCGCTCAGTGCATTCATAAGTCCTAAATATTTGAAAATTGGGAAAATATTTGCTATTGAAAAGTGTCCAAATCTGCCCTATCCTCCCCTACTATAAAATAAAACTTCATAACAAACTAGGAATATTTTTATATTAGAATGTTTATTTAAATTAAAAAATTATCTTTCTAGGTAGTTGTTTTAAATTGGAACATTCCTTTTTTAACATTGGTTCTTATGTACACCCTTAATTACAAAATAAATATAAAAATAAGAACTTGCTCTTTGGTATAATAATAGTATTTTTTTTTTAATTTTAAGGTTCTAGTTCCAATCTTCTAAAGCATCCCTCCGGTAAAGCATTAACTATTGCTTCGATATTATCAACATCGGATTGTAATTTCGTTATATCAATTTTGTACTGGTCCACTAAATTTGCTTGAGCAGCGTGGTCTTTTTGAAGATTAGATAGCTTTTCGTCAAGTTGAGATTCTTGAATTTGCTGTTCTGTGTCCCTAATAGCTTCTTCCAGTCTTTGTATCTCGCTATCATCAATATTTGGCGAATTCTGTAATTCAGTAATAATATCTTCGACGTCCTCTAGCAAGTCTTTAACTTTTTTAGCTGTTTCACCTGTCTCCTTTCCAGCATTACCCACCTGAAATCGAATATATTATTAGAAAGCATTGATAAATATCTTATTATAATATTATACTTTATTTTTTGCTTCTTCAATAACACTTCCATTGGTTCTTGTATCAGTAATATAACCATCAAGTTGTTGATCGACTTCGGCAACTTTTTCAATAATGAGCTCGGCATCTTCAGATAACCTTGTAGTATTTCTCATCAGCGTACCTGCTTCCTCTTTTATTTTTTCAGCTACTGTAGATGCATTTGTTGCCAAAGTATCAGCTTGCAGAGCTTTCTCTAAAGCTGAGTTTGCGTTATCAGTAGCGTCTTTCAAAGATTGTTGCGCCTCGACTGTTTTAGATATGGTATCTTTAATAATAGCTTCAATATCTTTGATTGTCTGGAGGGCTTCGTATGCCTCTTTTTTGCTTTTCATTGTTTCTGTATCAAAATCTGTAACAAAAAAATAAATAAATAGTGGTTGTGATAAGTTACAAATTATTATTATTATTATTTACTCCACCTTTTAGATCATTGTAAATGCTTTCTGTATCATTCAAAATCTTCTTCCAGCGATCTATAGAATTGTCAGTCCTTTCTTTAGTAGCGTGAATGTCGTTAAGCAATTCATCAATTTCATTTTGTTGATCATAAGCTCCTTCTAGTAACGCTCTACCATCTGCATTTTTTTCATCAACCTTCTTTCTCAAATCTGCACTACCTTTGAACAGGTTTTCTGTTTCATTGCCTAACTTAAAAGCGTCACTGCGAAGTTTATCAGATCGCATTTTTAATTGTGGAATGTCAATTTGAGGTACTTCTAAATTTTTAACCTCGTTAAGCAATGTAGTGGCATCACTTTTAGCTGTTGCTGATTTATTTGCAACTTCTTTTGTCCATTCTATAGTACGGTTCAATTTATTTTCAATATCTACAATTTCATGTTTGAGTGCCCTAGCTTTATCCCCAATATCTGACTGATTAGAAGTTGCATTTTTGGCTATATTATATGCCTGTATCGATTTGTTTTTAGCATCGATTGCCTTATCTGCTATTATTCCAGCTTTATTATCTAATTCGTCTGCTAATTCACGGGCGTCTTGTGCAATCTTCGTCATTTTTTCTGATTGTTGTCCAGCTTTTTTAGAACTCTCTATAGCGTGATCTAATGCCTCTTTAGCTTGAGTTTCAAATGTACCCTTACTATCAGCTAAACGCAACTCTGCTTCATCCAAGTTTGTTTCTATATGATCAATATTCATTTCTGTTATATGGCTTCTCTCTTTAATTAAGAATATATTTTCGTCAATTTGCGATAGTGTACGGGAAATATCTTTTTCTCTTTCTCTAATATCACCAACTTGGTGAATAACACTATGATCTCCAGTTGCATTTTTAACGTTATCGTAAAAATTACTGATATTTTGTTTTAGTTTATCAAGCTCTTTAGGAAACTCATCATCTGCTATTACAGTGGGCCTTCGTTCTATTTCATCAAGTATGTCATTAAGTCTTTCTAATTTATTATTGTGAGTTCTGTAAGCTTCTTGTACCAAATTGTAACAATCTGGACAATCGACACAACCTCTTTTTCTGTCAAACTTATTTTCTTTGCATCTGTCGCAACGTCTACCTTCTACATTATCTAAACATGGACACTGGCCAGAAGGATCACATTGGAGGTCTTTGGAACCTATACCATCACAGTCACAATCTTTGCAACCATCCTCTGAGAAGCCGTACTTTCTGGCCTCACAATGATCACATCTCAATCTAAAAAATATAATTTCATTAAAGTTCACCACAATTTATCATAAATTTACCCTGTTACTCCTGGTCTACAATAACACTGCCCTGTCAGCAGATCGCAAGTCTGGTTAAATGAACCAGTACTGTCACAGTTACAAGCATGGCATCCTTCACCGCTCATTATATTATAGTAACCATCTTCGCAGCGATCACAATTTGTACCAACGACATGAGGTTTGCAGTTACATTTGCCAGTAGTTTGGTCACAATCAGGTGCTCCCATCTTCTCAGCTTCAGTACCAACTGAGTAACACGTACATGCTTTACAATCACCTTTTGGAAGCACCACAGCATTTCCATAGAATCCTAAATACAACGAATATTATTGCATAGTTGAAAATTTCATATAATCGAATAGCATATTCTAATTATTATTGTTTTGTTACTTTTATAAAGTACTACTTTAATTATTTACTTTAATCTACTTGGATTCAGAATTTACTTTCTAATACCGTACCTGGTAGACATTTTTGACACAGATCTCCTCCTGTATTATAAATACATCTAAGACACTCTCCAGTGGTTGTATTGCAGTTACCAATAGCATTTGTATCGATATTCTTATTACACTCGCATTCTCGACAAGGAATTCGATCACCATTTCTGCCATACGGATCTCCGAAATATCCATCAGAACAAACATCGCATTTATGACCAGTATAACCTGTCGGACACTCAGTACACATGGTCATATCGTCATCGATTTGAATGCAAGCGCCACCTTCAGGACAACCGCAAGGTTTACAATCATCCGGAGTACCTATAAAAGAAACCGGTTCCTGTGTTTTTTACCATCTTAGAAATAAGTATCAATTTGAAAATAAATACCTCCTAAAGCATTTCCATAATAGCCTCTAGCACATAAGTCGCAATTTTCTCCAGCAGTATTGTCAGCGCAAATACATCTTCCTGTTTCAGAGTCACAAATTTCAGCATGGTTATTACAATCACAGGGTACACAAGGCATAAATGGACCTCCCAAAGCTGGAGAGTGTCTAAATCCTGGAGCACAAGACTCGCAGAACTGTCCAACATAACCTGGAAAAAAGTTAATTGAAAAACGTAGGTACTTAGAACTGTTGGTAAATAATACAGTATTTAAATATTTTCATTTGATTTGAAATTGTAATTCAAAGAAGATCTATTTTATGATTAATAGTTCCATTTTGAATACTGTTTCAGCTTGCCTAGGGGTAACTGTTTACTTTTTAGTCTATCCAAATTAATTTATACATTAGGACTCATATGTATTCCGCTTAACAGCTTCCAATGTGTTTAATACTCCATTGATAGATAGGCTATAGTCTTAAATTTAAATACTTGTTCATTACCTGTGTTTTGAAATTCTTACCTGCTGGACAAGCGCATGACTCTACCCAAAGAGCTGGTTTACCAGCCACTCCTCTGGAAGCAGATTCCAACTTCACTTCATCAAGAAAGCCAATACCTTCTGGAGCGTATGTACCCTTTATTTTAATCGCTGATAGGTTCGTGAGTATAGAAATAAATTGTTTTTCATTAAGTCTTGGTTGCCAACCATAATCTGGATGCTCGTGTAATCGGAACTTATACACTTGACTCTAAAAAACATTTATATATTAAAAAATTAAGGTATTGTTAATAGGAATTTGCTAACCTGCATACTAGGTATTCTATTCTTTTGTGCGAATATGGTATTTGTAACAGAAGCTCCTCCACCTTCTAATATGATATCTGTAGCTGTTGGTATAGGTCGATTATCACCTATCCTCAAAGTAAACTCCAACAATTGATTATAAGAAACTCTTTGGTCACCCAGAAACCTACTAGGAGCCACGAAATAAACAGCTTCATCACCTGATGATTGAACTCCGATACTTTGACTAATGGGCTCATATTTAACTTCAACTCTTCTTTGATACTCATCTTCAGCGCTCCATCTTTCAACGCCTTTGAAGAATGACGAATCAAGGACGTATCTTGAGAATTTTGTGGCAGAACTACATTGGGCTGAATGTCCATAACAGAAACAAGGGGTGCAACCGAAGTAGTTTTCTTCATCTAAGTTGAAGAAACCCGGTTTGCATTCGCTACACTGCTTGCCTTCCACGTTTTCCTTGCACTCGCAAATGCCTTTGTAGGGGTCACATCTTTTTTCGTTGTTAGTCGATCCTGGTTGGTAGCAGCCGCATGATTTACATCCGAATGATGAAAAATCGTAAAAGTTTTGCTCACATCTGCAATAGAAATAATATTTAATTAACCAATATAACCTTTGTTGTTATCTTGCATTGAAACGAATGTTGCTTTGCGGATAGATAATATGTTCTAGTATAGAAGTTAAGGAATTAGCCAGAAGGTCGTTAATCTCATCCACAAAGAGCAGGTTTCTCAATAAAATTAATTTAAAGGAAAAACGAGGAACGTTAAATGGGTAGTTACCACCTTAATTGGACTGAGGCCACACAGGCAAACCCTTAGCATTAAACACAAGACCAGAAGATGATGGAAAGTATTGAGTTGTTGAATTGTTAGGTTTATGTATCATTGGCGTTATTTAGGCTAAACTACGTAGACTTTCTTTAAATTGCTAATCTTAGTTTTAAAAAACCATTCCTTGTTGGCTTTTGATTATGATTTCAAAATTGTTTGAGTTTTAAATGTTAAGCATACCTATGTAAAAATAATATTGTTTGACATTCAAGAGTGGCGGAAGTAAAGACAAGCATGGCCATATATGTAGTAAAATCAGTGTCCTTGTGGTAGTGCATAAAATAGGCTCCATAAGAAAAGCAATAGTTTTTAAAAACATTAATATTTAAAGCACTAAAGTTAAACCGAAATTGTCAAAGAAAATCAATCAATCAGAGTTTTCATCATACAGTTATCGGGTAGGTGCACATATGTACAGACAATTTTATTGCGTTTTTGGATTTAAAATGAGAGAAAACCTAGAGAAAATTGTTAGAAAGTGGAATTAAGAAAATGTTTCGCGCCACAAATGCAATATTAAGGCCCTATAACACCATGGTTCTAGTACCCGTTATAACTTACTCATCAGTCATATGGTGGCACAAGGCTAAAAGCATAACAGCTATTAGTTAAAGTACAAACACTGGCCTGTCTAATAATAACAGGGACATTTAGAACTACTCCCAGTGCAGCAATGGAGCTACGACTATGACTTCCTCCATTACACCTTGTGGTGGAAAAGGAGGCTATGGCTGCGACGCTGATGGATTCAGATGGGACCTTTCATGGAAATGACACCATGCATATTAGAGAAATATTAGAACACTTATTATTCATGACTTTAGAAAATCTTTCTATATTTAAATACCAGAAAGGGCTAAAAGCTGGGAAAATAGGGAAATACATAACAAATCAATCTGGTATACAGATGATTTGAAGATAAAAAACAGCACAGGAGCTGGAATTTACTATGGATGCCAGTCAATCTTTAAAGCACTGAAAAGGATAGAAGTACAATCTAAATTAATATTGCCCCGGGATATTAGAGAGTATTGGAGTACGAGAAAGCAGCCCTTCTATTTAGGAATGGAGCTAAGCAAACTCTAATTGGACTAGAACAAACCTGTAGTATTTCATATTTCAGTTTAAATGTTTTCTAATGGAATATATAAATAGCGAATACCATAGGCTGTGGTTGAAACTTCCTAAACTTAGGCTCTCCAGAATATTCATAGAAAGTCCATCCAAGACGAGACAAAATCAACTGCTAAACCTTAGCAGGAGTGAACTAAAGTCCGTAATATGACATGGCATTTCGGCCTTAAAAGGCACCTAAAGAAGAAACTCCTATTCACATACTATGACATTGCCAGAACCTTAAATGGTAACAGGAATGGCACTTCAGGATGTAAAATACGGAACCTGAAGAAATCGCGAAAGGGACCATTAGATATATGCTTGAATTAATCAAAAATATTGACCTAAAGGAGAAAAAATTGAGAGGGGTTCAATAAGCCTAGATCTTTAGTACGAGTGGCTTTAAACCACACCCTAATTCATATGTATAGATGTGAGAGTCTAATATATAATTATCAATGCCGGACTCACTCAATGATAAATTAGATCGATTTTTCTGGTGTGAACTGTAGGTAGGATCGCTGATTTGCTCGATACAAGTTGTCTGTTAGAAAGTATGGTTGAACTTTAAATTCATCCGTTTCCAGTTATTACTTTATTGACAAAGTTTCACATGAAAATATTTTTTTTAAATACATGGACACGATAACTTATTTACTATGTACAATGATGTGGACAGGTAAATATGTAAAACGAAAGTATAATTAACGCAGCTTGCTATTGGTACACTTTCGAATCTGTTTCTCATGTAGACTGCTGCCATTTATACATCTGTTTGTCCTAGAACGCAAAAGTCTCTTTTCTTTATGGTGTATTTTTAAATTGTTTACATTTGAAAATTGTAATTAATTTCTTTAGTAATGCCGGTCCAGTTATTATACCGCCTTGTTCTAGATAACTAGGTACCACAGCGAGCTTTGATTTTGCTTACTAAATGCAGATGGCGTTACCATTTTGGCATGTTTAATATCTACATACTCTCAACCGCTGTTAATGTGTACGAGCGAATTTTATAGTGCCATCAGACTCCATTAGCACAGAAGAAAGAATAATACAGAAAAGAAAGTAATGGTCGGAACTTTGAAGTAGAAGGGACAGAAATATTTGACCTTGAGTTCCACCACAGAGATACTCTGAGAAAACGTGAATATTCACAGTACACGCGAACGTAGCTATTCAGTGAACCTACACTGCGAAAACCCATATTTCTTTTTTACAGAATTATGTGTCATATTTTATGAAAATTTGCATGAATGCATTTTAAACTATTCTCGATTTAAGTAACATATTTTTCGATTTGTAGCACTTCCGACAGGTTTCAAAAATAAAAATTATAAAGTTTTAAACAATAGTTTATTCATATTACAAAAACGGTAAAGAAACAGTTGAAAAACTATGTACTCAAATTACGTACATGTTCAATTAGACTTATATTGTCTAAAAAAAGGATCACAAACCTATGACATATTTTGTTAAAACTATTAAGTACATAGTATTCATAACATAACAAAATCGTTTTAAGTATTTGAAAATTAAAATAATTAAAATTGTTTACACAGATTTATAGAGCAAGCTTAATTTATAATACTTAGATAAGTAGCTTTATTAAAATAGCTACATTCTAATATACAACAAAAATATAGAATAATTATATAAACGGTTCTGTGACTTTTTTCGTTGGTTCTGAATGGGGAAATACTGTTGGGAATGCATTTGCAAATAATCGTTTTCTTGTTCCTGACAGATAAACGAATTTATCTTGGAAGTGCAGTTCACAAATTTTGTAATTTTTACTTAAGTGTTCAACACTCTTTCCCAATAAGTCCTCTCTATTTGCTGCCTCAAGCCACAATTCAAGTCTGAAAAATACATACAATCATTGTACTACAATGTTATGGCAAGGATAATTTCTATTTCACCCTTAATGTTTCATACATACCTCACTGGATCTTTCACAAGAGTGAACAATCCTTCTTTGCCACCTGTTCTTGAGGTACATCCACGATAAATACATTGACGCGGCATTGTTTGTAAACAAACCTAATCTTAATAGGTACAATAGTCTTAAATTAATACTCCACAATTAAAAACAGCAACTAAAACTAAAAATAAACCACTCAAAAAACCTGAAAGTTATCAGAATATTTGCAAAAGTCCAAAACGACAAATAAAGACACGACAGGCAAAAAAATATTGATTTTCTGACAGCGACAGCAGTGACAGATTCGTTCATCTGCTACAAAAGTGTGCACTGTTGCACTTCGAACAAGTAACAAATCTACGATCTCTACGGTCACATTCTTTGATTACTATACGGTGCAAGAGAGAGGTCCGACACGCCCAACATAGGGCGCGGCCATTTTGATTCCTATGCCACAGTTTATAGCTAAAGAATCAGATCGCTTACTCTGCGACGGCACTTTTGATCTCAATGTTCCAGTATATACACTGCGCAACTCGGATAATACAATATATGACAACCGCCTATAATAAAACAGCAGTCTTCTGCGTATCCTGAATTTGTATCCCTGGAGTGGATGTTATTTTGGAACTTTCAACTGATCCGAGTGAGCTAACTGATTCTTTAGCAATAAATTGTGACTCCAAAAATAATATTCACTGACACTGACAGCAGCAAGCAAAATATCAGGTGCGTTTTAATCATCCGCTTCTGCTTCCGGAATTGTCGGTTTAGTCATTTTAATCTGTCAGATTAAAACAAGAAAACCGACAATTCCGAAGCAGAAGCGGATGATTAAAACGCACCTATTAAAAATATTGCGCCAAGATGTAGGCAACACGTAATAAGGGATCAAAATGGCGGAGTTTTCTATCTCCTTTTAAAAGGCACTCAGAAAGCTGTGAGCAGGCAGATTCCCATTGACAATTCGATATCGAAATACTCGATTTCGACGGTTTGGTGAATTCCGATTTGCAAAAAATCATACTCGCATCGACTAAAACGATTGCGAGTCACTCGCCAGCTCTATGGTGCCGAATTGCTCGATTTCGGTAGATTATTGAGGTTATAGCACGTGGTTGTAGAGGTTGTAGCCTTGTAGTGGTTGTGATTTCTAGTTGAAGTTTAAACAGTTTAAAGCATTGTTATTGTTGATTATTCTATGTCATTGGTATGAGAAGATCTTAAGAATTTTGAGAATATAAGTAAAAGGTCTGCCTTAAAAAATAATAATGTAAGTACCTAATTAACTGAACTAACTAAATTGAAACAAAACAGCACCAAACTATTATTATAGGTAAATATGGTGGGTTTATGCACGAATTTAATTTAACGTAATTTAAGAATTAAGTCCTGCTATTGGCTAACTGTGATCACCTGATAAGGAATACATACTCTAATTTGCTGCTCTTGCGTTAAATTAAATTGTGTGCATAACCACTCCTTTACAAAGACAAATTAAAATTTCCTATTATATGCCGTCAGTTTGGATGGCATTGTTGACAATTAAAACACGTACTGCGCATGCTTGCTACGAATACTACGAGTTTCGGAATCGACCAAAACGCAGGGCAATTCGATAGCGAATAGGAATAGCAAATTTCTCGATATCGTATTTGGTTGCGAGTATCGAAAGCGATTCGATTTCGCATTTCGCACTGATTTGGAATCTCAGTACAGTGCGACCATTTTCCGTATAGTAAAAGAAAATCAAAGTATGTGTCTACGGTTCACTTTTGACAATGCTCGAAAGGTAGCATTCTAGCTGATTCACTAGCCAAGAAGGCAGCCAACCAAATACTTTTTGGACCTGGACACAGAAAATTTTGAAAAATGGTTCAAGACGAAATGTATACCTTGTCTGGAACATCCCTCTTTGATTGTAATCGATAATGTTAGTTATTATTTGAGGTATGTGGAACCAATTCCATGTTATATTTGGACAAAAAATAAATGGTTGCAAGAAAAGAACATTAATTACCCAATCAATGGTATGAAATATCGGATTTGGGAAGTTCTACATCAAAATCTAGCACGCAAAGAATTTCACCTAGATAGATATGTTGAAAAATCTGGGAATAAAATATAAAGCACTCCTCCATATCACTGTCAGTACAATGCGATAGAGATGGTGTGGTCACAGTGTTAACGGTTATATGACGAAAAAAATTTAACAACAAAATCTTTACCGGAAGATGTATTTCATATTTGGTCAGAAGCTTTAAATAATGTTACCGATACTCAGTGGTACAATTGCGTAAGACACACTTAAAACATAATTGTTTCCGATTGGGAAAAATACAAGCAATTAGATTCCGATCTAGAACAAATTATTATTTAATTTAGGTACAACGGCAAGTAGTGATGAGTCAGAATCAGAGTCCAGTTATGAAAAAAAGTATGTTGATTAAAAAAAATTATGTAAGTTATCCAATAAATATTGTCTGTGCCACTTGTTATGATAATATTTTTTTAACAAAGAATCTGTTTCATGAATTTGCACCTGTTATTATCTTAAAAAATTTTAAAAACGCTGAAAACCAATATTGAGCTAGGAAATTTATTTATAAAGTAAAAAAGTAAATTGTTCTAGTATTTGCAGACAAAATGTAAAACGTAATCTTAATTTTTTTCAAAGTGATTTCATGTATTCGTGTAAACGCACCTTAATAAAGTTTACGTTTCTAAGCAACAACAAAGTGCAATTAAAATAAGAAAACACGTGCAAACTGTAACTAAAAATGCGTTACTCTTTTGTCAGAGGACTTGGGGTATTTATGTCACTTTATAATTCAATGCCTGTTGCGGTATTAGCCAAAGGAGCAGTTGATTTCAGAAAAAAATGGTCGCTCATGTTTCTGTGAGACGGTGTATGTGTTTTCTCTTTTTTCGTTATGGTTTATAGTTTTTTAAAATGGTGTGAGTTTTATTTTTTATAAAGGTCATTGGCTAGTATAATTTATGGAGTAAAATTGGGACAATAATAAACCGATTAAATTTCAACTTGACAAACTTAACACTTGCTAGTTAAATAAAGCAAAACTTTTTTACAAAATTTTGTTAAGTAATTCAACTATGCCAATGTATTTTTTAATGTACTTAATTACATTAATACGTAAAAAATTAAAATGTATTAAAGGGTTTTTATAAATACCCGAGCATTTATGACTTTTGGATATTTACCCGGGCATTTACCCAACTTTTTAACCCAGCATTACTCTGGCGGGGTCTAACAGACCCCAGACGAATTAAAACTGCCTAAACTATTTATTAAACTGAAAGTACGTATATCTGGTAGCCTACTTCGTCAATAATATCGATCGGCAATTCTGTAGTTCGGTTTAGTCGTGCTGGGAACTTTGGAGAATTTACATTTGTGTTTAAAGTGCTCTGGGGTCTGTAACACCCCACCTGGGTCATAAAGTTATAAAATTTATTAGACTGTAATAATTTTTCTGAGATCTAAAGTTATAAGGTTTTAGTTTACAATATAAGTATGATGATATATTGAAATGTTTTTCGCTTAAACTAATTATATTTGCTTTAGAATCATGGGAGACTATGAAAGAAGTCAGCAGTGGCTATTGAATATATGGAGTGAGATTGAAAGTGACGAAGATGAAGCTGTAGACGGATCAGAAAGTGATGATGATAACTTAGATCATGTTAGTTCTCAAGTAAATGATCCGCAAGAAGACATTGACTTTGAAAATCTCATGGAAGACTTTATACACTTTATACACCAAAACTATTATTTAGGTAGAGGATAAAGTTACGAAATGGTACAAACACTGTAGTACAAGCCGAGTAAGGACAAGAGCTGAGAATATAATTACGAAACTACCTGGATCTAAACAATGTGCTCGTAGTGCAAAAACAGCTTTGGAATGCTGGAACTCTTCGTTGATGAAAATATGCTTATTGACATTACACACTGCACAAACTTGATGATTCAACAAAAATCACAAAATTATAAAGATAAACCAAATTGCGGTGAAACAAATTCGATCGAAATAAAAGCATTATTTGGCCTCTTATATCTTGCTGGTGTCTTTAGAAGTTCACTTCGTCATTTGCGCGTTTTCTGGAAGCCAAATGGAACTGGAATGGATATATTTGGAGTTGTAATGTCTTATAATAGATTTTCATTTCTCTTATTATGTCTAAGATTTGAGAATTTTGAGAACAGACCCTTGAGGCTTCAAATAGACAAACTTGCTCCCATAAGGTCTGTTTTTGGGAAATTCGTCTCAAATTGTCAAGAAGATTACTCGCCTGGGCAATACAAAACTTTTAATGAAAAACTGGAATATTTTCTAGCGAGATGTTCTTTTCGGCAGTATCTCCCCAACAAGCCCGCAAATAATGGGATCAAAATTTAAGCCCTTGTGGATGCACGTTCATTTTATACTATAAATATAGCAATATATCCTGGCAAACAACGAGATGGTCCATCTATATATAGTAACAATGCATATGATGTAGTAGACAGGATGGTGGCACCAATATCTAAAACTAACCGATATGTAACATTCGACAATTGGTACACCAGTTTAGAGGCAGTAAATAATTTGAGTGATAAACACAATCTAACTGCTGTTGAAACTATTAGAAAGGGTAAAACAGGTAAAAGGACGATTCCACTTGAATTTGAAAATATAAAAATCAGAAAAATCAAGTCATCCATGTTTGGTTTCCATCGTACCTACAAAAACTAAATACGTCATATTACTTTCATCTACCTACAGATTTAATGTAGTTGACAACGTCGCCAAAAGGTACTTCTCTTATATCGGCCAGTGTTAGCCGATACTCGCCGAACACAAATATTTTAATAAATGAGAGCGTCGAGCAATCGTAAGGATATGCTCGAGGTCTCATATTCTTGTTTGCACCCTCTGCAGAGTGCCGATTCTGACAACCCCATGATATGGAGATGCTTCCGTACTTGACAATGACCAGTCAGAATACTTGTGACTAGGCTCAGATTCTATCTAGTCATAGTCAAGTATTTGTTTGCTGCAGTGTTGTCAGGATAACTTAGGAGCTCCCTGGCAACTCTGCAGTTTGTTTTTTCGTCCCATCTTACCTTGAGTTTCACAAGAAAATGTTCTTTAATTAGGTCTGTCACTATCGATTTTGTCAGGCCAATAGAAGGGCCAGGTCCAAAAAATATTTGGTTGGCTGCTTTCTTGGCTAGTGAATCAGCAAGACGGTTACCTTTCGATGTGTCGTGACCTTTGATCCATCTTAAGGTGACCACGTTGTTGATGGATACTTCGGCCAAAGCTTCGTGACATTCTAGTACTAACCCTGAGTAAATTCGTGGTCTGTTTAGGGTGAGTAGTGCTTGTCTGCTATATGTATAGATGAGCATGTTTCTTCCAGTAATATTGTTTCTGGTTATTTCTTTTGCTGCTATGAGAATCCCTGTTAGCTCTGTTTGAACTACACTGGCACTATTGCTCACAGCCCATTTTATGTTTAGGTTTAAGAATCTGGAGTATATTCCACATCCTGAGACTTGTTTTGTTTTAGAACCGTCGTTGTAGATACCTGCCACTTCCGGCTCTTCTATTTGTGAGACGTGTGGACTATTCATACGTTTGAATCATGCGAGAAGCTTTGGCCAAAATTGTGCTGACTTAAATGCCGAGTAAAATTTTACTAATGACAAAAATAGAGTGAATTTTGATTTTTTTTTTTTTTGGTTGATTTGACATCTATATAATTTATTTTTGCAAAAAAATGAATATTTCTTTATTTCTCTTAATAATTTTTTTTTTCAAAAATGTGTGATTTTTACTTGAAGAATTCAATAATTTTTGTTTTCATTTGGTATTGCGTAATAAAAACTGTTTTTTTTTATTATTTTTCTAATCAACTATACTTCAGACAATGCTATTTTATTAAAAGTTTTGAAATTTGATATTTAGTTTTTTCTATAATATTTTTTTAAATTGTGGTCTGTCACACCCCACCTGGGGTGTTATGTAAAAAAAAAATCAACAGGACAATGCCGGGTTAAATACCTGGGTATTTAACATCACCACATTTTAATTCTTATTAGAAAACTAAACTTTGTGTTAAAAATGAAAATGCCAGTATGGCAATATGGCTTCGGTTTTTTAAGCTGTATGAAAACAATATGGATACAAGCATCAGTACCCCAGTTTTTTAAGGTGTAATTTATCATATGTTCGTCACGGAGATTCGAGCATCAAGTGTGATCTTCCATTGAATTTTAAAGGTAGTTATGTCAAGATAGAAAGACTCACGTAATCAGTTTGCAACTTTATTTCTTTGTAAAAATGATAATGTAATTTACCTGTCACATTTTTCTCCTGTAACTCCGGGTTTACATTGGCATTTACCCTCAACATTGCACTGTAGACTTCTTGAACCAGTTGGATTGCATTGACATTGAATGCAATAGCCATCTTCTCTCATATAGAAGTTTTCTCTGCATCTTTCGCAGTTGGGTCCATCGCGATTAGCAGCGCAGTCCAGGCAATGACCTCCATGTCCAGTTTGTTCATAGAGTTTTTGATCAAAGAAACAGCGATTGGAGTATCCGTTGCAGTTACATTCTAAAAATAAAAACAAAATCTCAATATTTTTTTTATTTTTTACAGGACAGTTTTTTGTGATTTTGTAAATTACTTCACCTTTTACTTTACATATTTAGTTATTCAGTTCTATTGTTTAGTTATCTTATTATATTTATTTCCTAAAATGTGTTCTAACCATACTCAATAGGCCCTTATGGAAACTTAATAATAAAGAGATAATAGGAAAGAAAATATCTGATAGACAACAAATCTCTTCTTATCGGGAACAACAATTTGTTACTCTTGACTCTTGACTAATACCTATTAACATTTCAGAATATAATAAGTTTCATTACTAAACTACTGCTACAGGAAATCAAAATTGGTTGCCATTTCGAACAATTGAGTAATTCTCCCTAAGACTAACTTAATAAAACAAGTAAAGCCGGTTTTAAATTATTTTAGAATTTATAAATATTGGTAACTTCTTATTTTAATCATGTCTATTTTATAAACAGCGTCTTGTCATAATAAGCAAGTTGTAGAATTAAACATAAATTTCGTACCTATAAAAAGTGACTTAAAATGAAAAAAAAAATATGCAAATAAGTAATAAACCACAAGTGCGGAACAACCACTGATGAAAGTACGCAAGTTCATTATAATAGATTGGGTTGTAAATCAAAATTAATAAAACCAGAAATGCGATTCATCATCAATAAATCAGAAGTTTGAATTACAATGCATTTATTTTTACTTACAAGTACTTAATATTAAAATGTGTCTCAAACACTACATATGTATATAGAAAATTGTATGTCAGGTAAATACGTAGTAGTGAAATTATACAGGGTATTTACAAATTCAAGCCCCAGAAATCATAATCTTCATTTTTTTAATAACTTTCAAACTACTTAATATTTAAAAGAAGAAAATAATAATAATAATTATAACAATAAGGGGGTGGGTGGTTCAGTGGTAGATACTCTGCCTGCGGATCCAAGAGTCCCAGATTCGAATCCCACCGTTGGCCGGGATTTTTTCATTTAATTTAATTATTTAAAATTAATTCTGATGCCTTAGTAGGATTCCCCACTCGACCATTCACTGTTTTGTTCCGATTAACAGTTCTGTTCCTAAAGTGACGGTGGAAAACAGTAAAAAGCGTACATAGAACACGAGGCGAAATAACCTTAGCAGTTGAAGCCGATGACACAAAAAAATAAGAATAATAAAATAATAATAACTTATTGTACATCGATGACATCAAACTATACTCTTCATCCGAACAAGAGCTAAAACAACAACTACGGTACGTCGAGAAGTTCTCAAATGATATTCGAATGAAATTTGGAATCGAAAAATGCAAAACCAATAGTTTGATATAAAACAGATGGACATAAACTCACTCAAGCGGCTGGCGGAGACACAATAACAGGCATGGAACGCAATGAAACCTACAAATACCCAGGTATTGCTCAAGCTAGAGGAATTGAAACTGAAGAGGTCAAAGATAAGCTCATGGAAAAGTTTAAGACTAAAACAAAACTTTTACTGAAATCAAAGCTGTCAGGCCAAAACCTAGCCTACATTGCATATGCTGAACCAGTAGTTGCCTACAGTTTCGGAGTGGTTTCATGGACGACCACAGAATTAGACGAACTCAATAGAATCGCTCGAGTTGCCTTTACAAAACACCGAAAGCATCATCCCAGAGCGCGTTAAGAACGTTACCATTTTCCACGAAATGCCGGGGGAAGAGGGATCACTGATTTTCGCCTAAGATATAAGAAGCAAATTGAGCTATTGAGAAAATACTTCTTTTCTAAAACTGAACAGCTGAAAAGCCATTTTACATTTAAACAATAAAGAAAGCGAATGGACTTGGGGTATTTCCGAGACCATATCTGTAGGCCAACAAGTTGGTTTGCCAGTTGAAAGAGACTCCCATTTTAGCTGTGTCATTGCTTCTTTTAGGTTTTCATCCTTAGTTATTTTTAGTCTGGAGCTCCAATGGGTGTGTTTTGCCTGCAATGGTAAATCTAGGTCCTTGGCTATTGAGGTTGACTAGGCATTGTTCCTTTTTAACGGTGTGTCTTGAAGGACAATAAGTAGAAGTAACCATAACCAAAGTTTTAGATTTTATCTTTACTGAAGTTGCCTGAAAATATTCAGTACTGTATCCAGCTTCTTAATGATGCTTCTATAATTATTATTTCATTTTGGGGGTGAATGGCATGATAAATCTTATATCCCTTAAATTTGCCTCATCAAGGAGGTTGCTCTAACGACAATGATACGCCTCCGTATGGTTGAAATAGAACCTGATGTATGATCTGATGAGGCGAGACGTGGTTTTGGCAGGAGGCGCTCGATATGCTTCCACTGATTCAAGCGAACATGAACTCCAACTCACCGAGATATATCTTCGATAAGCTATATAAAGTTGTAACAGAACAAATAGAAGAGCCGAAAGTGGCAAGTACGATTCATATCTACAACGACGGTTCTAAAACAAAACAAGGTTCAGGATGTGGAATATACCCAGATCCTTAAACCTTAACATAAAATAAGCTGTGAGCAATAGTGCCAGTGTAGTTCAAACAGATCTCACGGGGATTCTCATAGCAGCAAAATAAATCACCAGAAACAATATCACTGGAAGGAACATGCTCATCTATACAGATAGCAAAAAAACACTACTCACCCTGAACAGACCACGAATTCATTCAGGGTTAGTAGGTACTAGAATGTCACGAAGTTTTGGCCGAAGTATTCATCAACAACGTGGTAGCCTTAAGATGGATCAAAGGTCACGCCACATCGAAAGGTAACCGTCTTGCTGATTCACTGGCCAAGAAAGCAGCCAACCAAATACTTTTTGGACCTGGCCCTTCTAGTGGCCTGACAAAATCGGTAGACAGACCTAATTAAAGAACATTCCCTTGTGAAATTCAAGGAAAGATGGGATGAAACAAGAAACTGCAGAGTTGCCAGGGAGCTTTTAAGTTATCCTGACAACACTGCAACAAACAAATACTTGACTATGACTAGACAGAATCTGCGCCTAGTCACAGGCATTCTGACTGGTCATTGCCAAGTACAGAAGCAGCTCCATATCATGGGGCTGTCAGAATACACACTCTGCAGAGGGTGCGAACAAGAAGAGCATATCCTCTACGATTGCTCGACGCTCTTATTTATTAGAAGATTTGTGTTCGGCGAGTATCGGCTAACACTGGCCAATATAAGAGAAGCACCTCTTGGCGACGTTGTCAACTACATGAAATCTGTAGGCTGGTTCACGAGCTAGGAGGTGCCTATAATCTTAGGAGGATGCACAATGGGCCTAGCGAGATCTAAGTGCCGTGGGGGCTACCCCACCTTCCACACGTTACAGATACAGAGAGATCTCTTAAATTTAATAAAGGGTTCATTGGTAAAGCGAGTATATGCACATGTTTTCTCTGTCTAGGATTGCTTGCAATTCTTGTTGGTGCTGCAGCAATCCATTGGCATTCCATTCTATTATTATTATGCCATTACCCATTAAATGGTTTTTAGGCGTAGCTTATTTTGTACTACATATATTCTAAGCTAGTAATTCGTTCATCCATATTATGTTCAGCTTTTCCAATATTTGGTGGAGAGTATTGGTAATGGATGAATCTGGATTGTTATCTATTTTATCAGAATAATTTCCAGTGGTGCCATTATTTTAATTGGTCTATTATGTTTGTCCTGATACGAGTAACAAGTGTACTATTGTTCTGTCAATGCTCCTTTTTCCCAGTTATCGGTGGCTGAATGATCTACATTTGTCTATTAGATTATTTCTATTAACAGGCTTATGTTGGATTATTCGCTGTGGCTGTTTAGGCAAGTTTTGTTTTTTTGCTATCCATTTCCTTGGCTACTTCACATCCCCTGTAGCTAGCAGGATTTTCTTTAGGTAGATCATCTTTCGGTTTTACATAATTTACAGTTAAATGTTTAATCTGTGCATCTTACGTATCGAGGCTTTTTAGCGCAGCACCTTTGATTGTGTCCGAATGCTTAACATTTTTTACTTTGAGGTACTAGCTTGGATTTTTTGAGATGTACTATTTCAAAGTAGACTCCCATAATTTCCCTGATTACCTGTATTTTCTCAACACTTTCGTCATGTTGGAATGTAAGCATAAACACATTGAATAGTTGTTTAGTCCTATATTTTAATTTTCGAGTCGCTACTATAATGTTAAAGCCACGACTTTTCAAATCACTAAGTATATTTTCTTGTTTGTCAGAATGGTGCAGTTTGTATGCCATTATTTTAATTGGTCTATTAAGTAATGTCCTTATACGAGTAACAAGTATACTCTTGTTCTGTTAATGCTCCAGAAAGCATTCTATATTCTGGTTTTTCCAGAACGTTAATTTTAACATTATTGTCGTCGATAACTCTAATTTGGGAGTTTGTAATTTGTCTCCCCATACTAAGGAGTTTATTAAAGTTTCGGACGTTATCGACTATAATAGGTGATGGTATCTTAATTTTTACAGATTTTTCTATTGTAGTGCTGTTATTTTGTTGTCGTTGTCGTGGTCGTCAACCATTTTCTTTTTTCTGTTTTTACGCGGTCCATCCAGTCTCCTTTGCCATATCTTCTTCATCAGTAAAGTATTTAGTGGGCTTAGTGGCATATTATGTCACACAAAATACGAGTTACCGTTTCCCTTCGGAAAACAACTACTCGTTTGTCTAACGCCGTAACAGGGTAGGACTGGTCAGCAAGAAATAAATAGGTTTTCAATTCCAGTCTCTATTGGAATCGGCAAAGGTGCCAAATTCTAATTCAGATGTGACCAGGACGTAAAATATAATAAAGCCATAAATATGTCACATAAAATACAAATGACCGTGTCAGTTCGAAAAACAACTATACATTTGGCTAATAGCACAATAGGTATTGAATTATATCAAAGGGAACTATTAATAAAAAGTATCAGGAACTCTAGAACCATGTCTATTGCCATAAGAAGTACCCTTAAAATAT